AACGATTCTACTTGTTATAAAATAACCAGAAAAAAATTGACGCGAAAATATTCAACCATTGAGCTAAAAAGAATAAAATAAAATTACGACCATTTTCGATGCACTAAAAGGCGACCGGAGTTGTCATGAGACAATTGACGTCAATCGTCATATTCCATTCATACCATACACTCAGATGTCAAATGGCAAACGAGCAAGGGACCACCTGAATCCGCCGAAATAAAAGCGACCGCTGCACATAAACATCCGCAATTGCAGCGTCGCCTACCCTTCATTGACGGAGGAGACGCACATAAAGAGGACATTTCCCCTTTGCGTCTCCTCCATCGTCAAATCCACTTTTCCTTCCCATCTTCTCTTAAAATAAGAGTGGAAAGGGAAAGGGTCTAAAATTAGGCCTTTACATGTTTAGGATTTCGTATTGAAATAACTCAAATACTTTTCGACCGAGTTTAAAAAGTATGGATTCAAAAGAGGATATGCTTAAGAAAGGAGTGGATTCAGATATGACGGCTGATAGAGATGTATGGAGCAGCACATACTATGCCGACCCTCCATAAGGGATAAAGGTAAGTTGATGACAATGATGATGACTTTTCGACCGAGTTTAAAAATTCTTTCACAATTAAAAAAGCTATGTTATTAGTACATGGGCTATATTTATATAATAAAATATTTCACGCAGCCTGAGTAACATCATATTTAATATTATAAATACGAAAGTTTTGATGGATGGATGGATGGATGGATGGATTTCAATTAAATTTGACATGATTATAGAGGATAGTCTGGAAGAACACATAGGCAATCGCTTTTGTTTTTTTAAATTCTACGCGGACGGAGTCGCGGGCGAAAGCTATCTTTTATATTAGTAAGATCTATGACTATTTCTATTAGTAACATGTCCTAATTGTAGTCCATTACCTTTCCCACCATTTTCTTATACGGAAAGGATGGGAACTGAAAGTGGATTTGACATAGGAAGGAGAAATATAGTCTTTATATTTCTCCATTGATTAAGAGTAGGCAAAAATATGGGCAACGATCGCTTCGCTTTCTCGGCGAATTCAGAATCACATGCATTGCCACCTTATAATAATAAAAAAAAGAAAACAGCCTTTGCCGTCTCTGCATTAGCTGAGCTTGCCGCCTTTTGCCACATTTTTTTTACTAGCTTTAAGGTTGATATATGTAAGTCTTCATTTATAGCTTGTTTTTGTGACAATAAAAGTTCTATTTATTAAAAAAAAGGGTAGTTACTTTGACTCTCCTGTCGACCTCCTCGCGCTTGACCTTCTCTTTACGCGCGCGGAATGGCGCACGACCTTCTATCATCTCGTACACCAAACACCCGAAGGAGAACCAGTCCGGGCTGAACGTGTACCGCTCGTTGTCTATCACCTAAAACACAATACATCTTGATACATATTTTTTTATATATAAAATAGAGTATAGATGGAAATGGGGTCTAAGATGGAGTACAGTCTATAATAAAATATTACAATTTATGACGAGACGTTATTCCGTAGTGGGAAATTGAAACTAAGACGGAGTACAGTCTGTCGGATTAGTCTATGTCGGAGTACAGTCTGTGTCAGATTAGTCTAGAACGGAGTACAGTCTGTCGGATTAGTCTATGAGGGAGTACAGTCTATGTCGGAGTACAGTCTGTGTCAGATTAGTCTAGAACGGAGTACAGTCTGTCGGATTAGTCTATGAGGGAGTACAGTCTGTGTCGGATTAGTCTGTTACGGAGTGCAGTCTGTGTCGGATTAGTCTATAACGGAGTACAATCTGTGAAGGATTAGTCTATGTCGGAGTACAGTCTGTGTCAGATTAGTCTATAACGGAATACAGTCTGTCGGATTAGTCTATGAGGGAGTACAGTCTGTGTCGGATTAGTCTGTTACGGAGTGCAGTCTGTGTCGGATTAGTCTATAACGGAGTACAATCTGTGAAGGATTAGTCTATGACGGAGTACAGTCTGTCGGATTAGTCTATGACGGAGTGCAGTCTGTGTCGGATTAGACTATGATGGAGTACAGTCTGTCGTATTAGTCTATGACAGAGTGCAGTCTGTGACGGATTAGTCTATGCCGGAGCACAGTCTGTGGCGTACATACCTCAGGCGCCATGTATCCGACAGTGCCGACGCGGCCGCGTACAGTGCCACCCTCGGGCACGTCGACGGCGAGACCGAGGTCTGAGATACGCACGTGACCAGCATCATCCAGCAATATGTTCTCCGGCTTGCAGTCTCTGATATAAAACAATATTTTAATATACAAAAATGGTGATTTTATACGAAAGTTATTTTATTACGGATAAAGAAATCAGAGAAAAAAGTGCAGAGGGCTGATTACCTACTTATCAAAAACCAATCTATTGCAAGGAAAAGTAAAGTAAATCAATTACTAGAATGTTACTAAAAAAATAGATTTAATACGATTGAATTTAAAAAGGCTAATTATATGAAGTCTTTAGTAGAATAATTATTTTCACATTACCTATGACGTAGTAAAATTTTGTGGTCTAATATTCAGTTCTAACACTCTAGTTTCATGAATTTAAAGTCTCAGCAACTTTTTTAAAGAATCATTTAATAAATTACTAAAAACCATCAGATATTGTAGAAACTGGAGAAAATCATCCCAAGAAACGTTATTTTAAACACACATGTTACTTCTTTAGTTTGTTATACCTGTAGACTATCCCCATTTTGTGCAGATGTTCTAGACCGCAGGCGACCTGGGCGGCGTAGAACCTCGCGCGTTCCAGACCTAGGCCAGTGTCAGCGCCGCACATATTGTAGATATGGAACTTTAGGTCTCCACCTGGAATATAATCTTAGATTTAGATTTTGTTCACCAATGGTGTACACCAGTCTAGACTGGATTACACTTATGATGAAATCTGTCAATTATTATCTATCCTATAAATATTTTACTTCCATCTTTACTAATATTATAAAGAATGATTTGTATTTTTGTATGTTTTAATGACTCAAAAACTACTGGGCCGATTTCAAATATTCTTGTACCATTAAAAAGGTACTTAACCTCACAGTAACATGGACTATATTATCTATTTATTTTTAATACGAAGATGAAGTCGCAAGCAACAGCTAGTTAATGTATAAAAAACATTAACGTACCATTTGTTACTTGAAAGAATTTAACACAAACTCTAATATTAAATAAATGCGAAAGTTTTTCATGTAAAGAATGATTTCGATGAAATTTGGTACAAATGTAGAGGATAGTCTGGAAGAACACATAGGCTACTCACTTTTGTATTTTTTAATTCCGCGCGGACGGAGTCTCGGGCGAAAGCTAGTTTATAATAAGAAATCTGTAGTCAAGGATAGATTAAAAAAGTCTGAATTTGGCTACAAGAAAGGCTTAGTTCTTCGGTAATAAAGCAGGATAATAGAAATCTAAGCTATAGAAGATCAAAATAGTTTACCGTTCATAATAGTGAGCACCAAACAAAGCGCGTCTTTAGTCTCGTATGCATACGCCAAGTTAACGACAAAACGTGAGTTTATTCGCTGCAGGATTTGTTTCTCAATCAACACCATCGCTTCTCCTTTACGCTTCTTTATTCTCTTCTTTTCTAACTTCTTGCACGCGTACATCTTGCCTGTCGCTCGCACCTAGACAAACGCATTATGCTTTGATTGAACCAATTACCAAATACCAAAAGAGCGTAGGTGGCTCAGTGCTTTGAGCACTTGACTTGTAATCTACAGATCTTGGGTTCGAATATCGCCGTACCAATGTGATTTTCTATTTTTCCAAATTTCATATGTACACAATTTACCCGACTTTCTTACGGTGAAAGAAAAGACCGTAAAGCAACCTACACATATCGGCGAAGAAATTCAAGGATATGTGTGTAGTCAACCAACCCGCATTGGGCCAGCGTGGTTGCCCGTGGCCCCGCCACTATGCGTTAGAGAAACAGAAGGGTTTAGTGGGTATGCCCCATTATGGGGAGAATCCTACATAACTACCGTGTCCCCCCTCGGGACGCGGAGTATGGATAAATCATTCCCCTCTGAAGAAAAAAAAAGGCTCTGAGCCCCGCATATTGTTAAGAAAATCGGGCAACACTGCAACATCGGCATAGACGTGCCTATGTGACAGCTGTCAATGTCATTCAGTTGAGAACAGCGCGCATTCTGGCGGGAGTCAGTATTGTAGGTGAAGTTATATTGCATAAAAGTATGATTGTTTTTGTCTCTTTCTCTCTCGTATGGATTATATTCTCACCTGGCACGCACAGACCTCGCCGAAGCCGCCTTTACCCAGCACTCGATACATTCGGAACGTGTGTTGTGTGACCGGCTGCGCCTCTAGCCACTTCCATTGCAAATAGCGGTGGAAGTACATCGAGCGTTCGAACTCCGCGAACGGTGCGCCTGCGAGAAAACTCTTCACACAGCGCACGCACTCGCCGAATATGTCTTTAGATCCGCCTGGAAGATAAAACATGGTATGATTATCAGATATTCGGTTAACTACCGACGAGTTGATGAATTTAACACAGTTTTAAATGTAGCGCTTCGCGCTGATTTTCAGTCGCCTAGATAATATAAAAGCTTTTACCCTTCACTCCCTCCACATGGAATTAAAAAAAAAATTAGCATGTGTGATCTTTCTACTCATCTATGTCAAATTTTATTGATATCCGTATAACAGTTGAGGCTACAATCTCTAACAAACATCCATCTAAACTTCCACATTTAAAATATTAATAAGAAGTAAAAATCCTGGCAGCGAACTGTGAACGCCCTCTGCCTCACTTCTGGTACATCTAACTAATATTATAAATGTGAAAGTTTAGATGGGTGGATGGATGAATGGATGGATGTTTGTTAGAGTTTGTAGCTTAAACGGCTGAACGGATTTCGGTTAAATTTGGTACAGATGTAGAGGATAGTCTGGGAGAACACATACGCTACACACTTTTGTTTTTTTATTCCACGCGGACGGAGTCGCGGGCAAAAGCTAGTAGGACAATAAGATGAAGAAACAATGAACGCTTCTAATTAATCGAAAAATTGTCTAAGTCTTGAAATTAATTTAGAAAAAGTTCGTTTAATGTTAATAATCTATTCTCTACTCTTTCTGTAATTTAAAAATTTCGAAAATCACGATAAAGAAAGCTTGTTCATCAAATCTTAGGACAGTCCTACCTTCAAGCAGTGAGCTGGCGTCATCGACGACCGTTGGTATAACCACATCGGTAACAGCCTCGCCTCCCTCGGGCTTCAGGTACCTGCCGAACACCTCCGCGGCGAGCGCCACCCGCGTCTCCTCCAGCCCCACCTCGTACCGTTCCACCTGCAAACGTAACAGCTGCCTCTGCTTTATCATCTAAATCCACTTACCTCTATGGACAGGCTATAAGACGGCAGTGCTGTAAGACCGCTGTCTATAGACATCCACAAGTGAATATTAAATTCCTAATACACTTGCAATAATGTTATGTAAATTTGAATTAATTCTTATGAAAGTAAATTATTTAAAAAAGCTTAAACCTTTGCAAATATGATAGCTGCCAACTTATATGGTGGGTACATTACAAAATTTTTAGTTGTGCAACTAAACAGTTGAATTGCAAAACAATCGACAATCGCACAACAGTTTGCAATAGTTTAGTCAAAAGGTGCGCGCCCGCTCTTAACACTTAATTTAAATATAAGACGAAGTTAAGTTCAAATAAGTATAAATGGATGTATGGATACATACGGCATCGAGGAATCCATTGTACTTGTGATACTGTGGCCGCGTGCGTTCGCAGAACTGCCGGAACAACAGCTTGCCGATCGGCTGCTGGTCCACCACGTACTCGTAGCCTACATCTGCAATACAAACATAGATATTGCTTATAATCGATGAGGATGATTTACGAAATAAAGATTACGTAATAAAAAAAATTTAAATAAAGCAACGCCATCTATACATGTAATAAAATTGAAGCATCTGTTTGTAGTATCAAAAGAAAAATTCAAAATTATAGGAAGATGGTGTATTTGTGTTGCTGTTATCGAAAATCGCATTCATTTTTGTCTGTTTGTCAGTCCGCAAGCCGTGTTTTTTCCAGGTAATCTTTGAAACGGCCGTTTTCGACCAGATTTTTACTGAAGACTTTACTGTCAAATTGACCAATAAATAATATTTACTAGACAAAATCATACAATCGATTATAGAGTAGAGGAGCTTGACTCAGACGTGATAATATATCTTATAAGCAAATTGTTGGGTAGCAATTAGGTCCTACTTATAGTTACTAGCTTTCGCCCGCAACTCCATCCGCGAGGAAATTTATAAAAGTCTACGGGTAGCGATGGTTTCGCTATTATCATACTTCATACAAATATTATAAATGCGAATGTTTAGACGGATGGATGTTTGTTAGAGTCTGTAGCCTAAACCGCTGAACGGATTTTAATAAAATTTTGTATTGACGTAGGTGATAGTCTGGAAGAACACATTGGCTACTCACTTTTGTTTTTTTTAATTCCACGTGAACGTAGTCCGCAGGCGAAAGCTAAATGACTTTATCGTTGAATTTTTTCGTCGTAATTAATAAAACATCCCAGAGCTATTTGAAATAATTAAATAAACATAACTGTGAGCCGAGGGAGCGCAGAACGCTTTGCCTAATTAACTTATTCAATTTGGGTCACTATTGTCCCACTAGAGGGACACGCCTCGCCTACAGAAAGACTTTTAATTGTATATTCTACTAGTTGCTTTACGCGATTTCGCATGAATGGAAAAATAAAACAAATTATATTGTCGACTCACTATATTGTCCTTACTAAGAGTATTCTGAGCCCACCATAAGTTAAGGGTGACTGTTATAGTCAACTATATTATAACTAGCTTTCACTCGCGACTCCTCCAGACTATCCTCTACATCTGTAGATCTGGAGGAATTTTCGATGCAATTTGGTATATCTATACAAGATTGCAAGAAATTCGTTCATCCGTTTAAGCTACAAAATCTAACAAACATCCATCCATCCATCCATTTAAACTTTCTCATTTATAATATTAACAGTAAGATGTATAATATAATAATATTTTAAAGAGGAAAGATATGGATTTTTTAAAAGGTCTTTCACCAATAGAAAGGCAATTTATCGGTGAGTAACATAGGCTATATTTTTTAATTTCTTACGGACGAAGTCGTGAGCAACTGCTAGTAGTCAACTAAGCTTGACAGTGGGTCGACTTCACACATATCTTTGAATTTCTTAGCTGACACGTAATGCCAGTTTATATGAATTCGAAATGAAACGAAGAAATGTAACAAAAATACATTATCGCGGCACCCTAAAGTCTACACCGCTTGCAAAGTAGAGGAAAACCATAAGTATGTATCGATATTCGTAAGAGAGTAAAGATATGACGACTGACAGTCATTGGCATTGCCAACTGATGTTCTTGGTAGCCTATTAACAAGGGAGAGTTTATAATAATTTTTATTACAAAGAGAATGTTTTAATTAAAAAACAGACAAGTTCTGAGTTACCTACAGGCCTTTAGGGATTGTAGAAACCTAAGCATTCTGAATTAAATTAGATGTTTATTTTACAACTAGCGTAAATCTGCGTGGAATTAACAAAAAAAAAACAAAAGTGAGTAGCTTATGTGTTATCCAAGATTATACTTTATATCTATGCCAAATTTCATCGAGATCGGTTCAGCAGTTTAGGCTACAGACTCTTAATAAACATCCAGCCATCTAAACTTTCACATATTAGTAAGTAAAATTTTACAATTTTCATTTCCTATAGCCTCGCCCTTGACAGGAGTTACATTTGAACCTTCAAAATACTAGGACAGCATAAACAATTGTGCGTCATAACAGTTAACTGGTTAATTAGAATGGTTGGGGTTCGAATCCCCAGTCGATGACAATTACAATTTAATCACTTAATAACGAACCGTGCGTGGAACTGTAGGGACTGATGTTTATGGTGCCTTGGTAAAATGTTTTACCACGTTACCATGATATGTTTGTATTATGGTGACATAAACCTGAATGTGTTAAGATTGAATGTTAATGGCTAACAAGGTAGAGGAAGACCGAAGAAAGTATGGATGGATTGTGAGAAAGAGGATATGCGAAAGAGGGAAGTGGATTCAGATATGACGGCTGATAGAGATGTATGGAAGAGCAGCACATATTGTGCCGACCTTCAGTAAGGGATAAGGGCAAGTTGATGATGATGATGATGATGACCGTGATAAGTCGTGAAGGCAATATTTTTGTTCAAGACGCTAAAGCGACTATAGTCCAAGATATTTCAGTGATCATTTTAAAATTACCAGTAAACTTGTGCGTTTATCTCAAATTATTCGAGACCTTTCAGAAGTAAAGTACTAAAATGTGACAAAACTTGTTAGTAGCCCGAAGACATTAAGTTATCAGGGGCGTTGTAAGTTAAAGTTAAGGGTCCCTTTTTACGACTTGTTCAAGGAGAGTTTATGTCTTTCTAAATTGAGACAAACTCTTTATTGTTAAAACATCTGTTGAGATAGTTCTTTTATATATAAGTTTTAATAATAAATAGAATCTCTTCATTTATGCAGGAGAAAGGTCTATAATCTAGTCTAAAATCTTACTATTTTATAAATGCGAAAGTTTAGATGAATGGATGTTTGTTAGAGTTTGTAGCCCAAACGGCTGAACGGATCTCGAAGAAACTTGGCATAAATGTAGAGGATAGTCTGGAAGAACACATAGGCTACTCACTTATGTTTTTTTTTTAATTCCACGCGGACAGAGTCGCAGGCGAAAGCTAGTACTGTATAAAATTAGTGTTTATTTTGTCAAAAAAGTCCATATCATGGTTAATTCAAAGCCCAAAAACATTGATCAGATTTTCATCAGAATTTCACGACTTTTCCCATGCTCTAAACTGTTTGCCACCCAATAATGACACTTATCACCTATCCCTTAAAGTTCAAATATAACATAGGTTGGTATACACTGGATTCCTAAGATGCCGTCATGCAAATAGCGAGAGGACAGCGGCCCTGCGCTCGTAATAGCACTGACGTCATCAACCACGCATCACTCCATCACCAACGTTGTTAACGCCAGGTGAAAACACGCCTACGGTAAAACCCTGTTTTCACTAGGCCCGATTTTATTACCACGCGAGAACAGTTCCTGTGGCTGAGTTACTCATTGTGTAAAGTTAAACGCGCTAGTGGAAATAGATAGCCGAATGCAACTAAATGCAAATAAGGGTTTAAGCGACTACCATAAGAAAATCTTAATAAGTCTTACTAATATTATAAAGGTGAAAGTTTGGATAGATGTTACTTAGAGTTTGTAGCCTAAACTGCTTAACGGATTTCGATGTAATTTGGCATAGATGTAGAGCGTCTGGAACACATAGACTACTCACTTTAGTTTTTTAATTATATCCGAGAGAAACGCCGGCACAAGCTAATATAAAATAAAAATCTTATCTTTAAACAAAATGCTTCAGAAAACAATATTAAGAAAGCAGTAAAAAGATACATAAAACGGAAGTAAAGGAATTTAATAAAACGATATACGGAACCCGTTCCAATATGCGGAAACTTAGATGTTTACTACTAGTACGGACTAATAAAAATATCTCTCAACGACGTTGGTTTGTAATATGACAGGGCGCCGTCGCCCGGGGTACGGTAAACGCAGACTAATTTACGATTTTATTACAGAACATTCTAGAAATAGTTTATGGAAATTCGAACAGCACAATTTAGACGCAAACCCTCTGTAAGGACTTTGTCCAAATAAATGTCGAAGAACATTTATCTCTCTTTTTTTAAAGAAAAAAAGTGATGACAATATCTATACAAACTAGATTTCGCCCGCGGCTCCATCCACGTAGAATTAAAAAAAACGAAAGTAAGTAAACCTATGTGTTCTTCCAGACTATCCTCTATATCTATGCCAAATTTGATCGAAATCCGTTCAGAAGTTTAGGTTACAAACTATAACAAATATTAGTATAAAGTATAAAGTATGATATAATAAAGCGTAAACACACACACACACACTACTTAGTTACGTACGATGTCAGCATCCATAGTGCATTTTTTAATAACAAGTCCTACACTTAGACACGCTTTAGACTATATATTTTCACGTTAATAAAATTAAGGAGTTAATAATTTGGATAAAACTGTTATGCAGAAAAGGGACAAAAACTACAAGCTGATAAGGAAGCAAGGTTGCTATGGTAACGGTGAATGTTATCCAACGTCAAATGCCTTCCTTGTCATTTGTGCATTTGAATTTCGACAAATGAAAACAATAAAATGAAGTTTTTACATTTTTATGCGGATGAAGCCGCACGGGAACAGCTCGTGTTGTTATACAAGTGTTTCAGCAATGGAAATAGGTTACATTCGACAAATATTTGTACATTACACTCTTATGTTTGCCGTTCAAACTTTGAGACGCGCGTGAGTTTTGTACGTAAGCCAGTTTTAATACTCCGGCATACATTGTTAAGTCTAAACAAACAAATATTTACAAGTTCAAACAAACCCGTGTCTACTTCAACGTGATTGATGTTGTTTATATAACATTTGATTCAATTTTTTATTATGTTGATAATTATGTAACATGCTCAAGACTTTTCAGAAAACAATTTTAGGTATTAAACCAGAAAGATGATTAGGGACAATCTTAAAACATCTTTTAAACCTTTGGAATTACAAAGTGACATCTCATGGCGGTAATCGAACCCAGGAACTTCAACTACAAAATGTATGCCGCCCGTTGTATAACTATCGCACGACTGTTGTGCGATTGTCGATTGTTTTGCTGCCCATTCAACTGTTT